AAAAAGTTTCACATTTTTTTTTTAAAAAATTTTTTTAATTGTTTTTTTTTTTTTTTTTTTTTTTTTTTTTTTTTTGTTTAAGTAAAAAATTTAGAACTTAAGAAAATTTAAGATTTGGACTTCAAAATTGCATTCTTATGAAAATTCTTCTCATTAGATGACGACTTTCTTAAGATTTTCATGAATCCTGCCCCAGAAGCCTAAATGGCAGATACTTTCTTAGCCACACAAAGCAAACTAGCAGACCAGTTAATTATATGTAATACTTGATTTTGACTCTCAAAAATATGCACTCAAGACACTTATTTATTTATTTTTTTCACAAATTATTTATACTTTTCATATTCTTTGTGTTCATCATTGTACACACATTTTAAACTCACTTTGCCACATTTTTGTTGACAGCTTGTGGGAGACTTCTTGGAGGTGAAGTGCATCAACCCAACATTCATCTGTGATCATCCACAGATCATGAGTCCTCTAGCAAAATGGTATGTGCCTGACTTTGATTTGATTTATCACTGTAGTGTATGGTTAAATCACAAATGATCTAAAACATTCAACTAATGTGTCTCCTCCTCAGGCACAGATCACAGAAAGGCCTAACTGAGCGCTTTGAACTCTTTGTGATGAAGAAGGAGATCTGCAATGCCTACACAGAGTTGAACGATCCTATCAGACAACGAGAACTGTTTGAGCAACAGGCTAAGGTGAAGATACAATACCGAGTACTAGAGTTGTGACGGTGAGGAAATTTTCCCACTGGTTAATCGACGTGTGACAGCACAGGTAATACCGGTATCACCGCAGGGGCGTTCCCTCTTTTCCTCGCTTTCAAATAGCTTGTAAAAGTGGCGCGCGTATTTTTACTTTCACTTTCAATTAGCGGCAATTCGGAGTAAAGCAATTGTTCGTTTTTAGTTTGTTTGAATTTCCCTCTTTTCCTGGCTTTTCTTCGCTTTTAAATAGCTTAAAAACGTTGTGCGCATTTTACTTTCACTTTCAATTAGCGGCAATTCGGAGTAAAGCAATTGTTCGTTTTTAGTTTGTTTGAATTTCCCTCTTTTCCTGGCTTTTCTTCGCTTTTAAATAGCTTAAAAACGTTGTGCGCATTTTACTTTCACTTTCGAATTAGCGGCAGCTGGCAGTTAGGCGTCAACGGAATTGCTTGAATGCAACAACAAAATACAACGTCAAACTCACTTTAGCCTATATATAAAACATAGAACTTTTATTAACAAAACAAATAAAAATACACCATGCTATAGGGCAGGCTATGCCTAATATAAAATAACAAATAACTTATATAACGTTTAAATGTACAAAACTGGAAACAAGTAAACATGTATAATATATAACCAAATAAATAAGAAACGTCGAACGTTTATTATCAAAACGAGTAAGAAAGCTTGGAGACACGGCATAAACCTTGATGTCAAATAAAATAAATAAATGACACAAAGTTTAAATAAAGTAAAAATCGGCAAACAATGTGGAACCAATTAAATAAGAAACGAATGTTTAAAAAAACTTCCAAAATCACCTTAGATAACCGGCCATTGAGCAGCCGCGTTCAGCTTTTAATTGTAGTGTCTGTTCTTTTACTGAACTAAATGATTTTTATTACTATAAAAAAATCTAAACAACGGTGGGGGTTGGTGACGCGGTGGGCAAGTGACGTAACCGGTGTTGCGGCTTAACAACGGTATCACCGTCTATCACAGCAAGCCTACCGAGTACATCATTTTCTGTCTTGATCTTACACTAATTGTTGAATTTTGGGGGACTTTCTTAGTTTTCACATTTTTTCAAAATATCACATTTTGTCAGGAAATATCCAACTTTTGCTTCTGGTGTTATGAAGCAATAATTGTAGTCACTTGATCTTCGTCACTTCATTGTGGTGGTTTGTGTTTGTGTAGTCAAAGTGTTCAAAAGTTTAGGGTCAGCTAAGTCTGTTTTATTAAAGAAATGAATACTTTTATTCAGCAAGGATGCATTAAATTTATCAAAAGTGACAGTAAAGAGTGTTACAGAATTTTTCCATTTCAAATAAATGCTGTTAAAAATGCACCACAGTTTGCACAAAAATATTAAGTGGCAAAAACTTTGTTTTTTTTAAACATTAATAGTAATAAAAAATGTCTCTTGGGCACCAGATTAGCACATTAGAATGATTTCTGAGGGATTATGTGGCACTAAAGACTGCCTCTAAAAATACAGCTTTTCATCACAGGAATAAATAGCTTTTAAAATATATTACATTAGAAAACAGTTATTTTAAATGGTCATAAAATTTCACGATATTACTGTTTTTACTGTATTTTGACCAAATAAACGCAGACTTGGTGAGCATAAGAGACTTCTTTCAAGAACATACTTTTTTTTATGCTAGTTTATGTTGGCTTTATTGTCTCAACCAATATGTGACCCTGGACCACAAAACATAAGGGTACATTTTTCGAAATTGAGAATATATCACATACATGTGCAAGCTGAATAAATAAGTTTTGCATTGATGCATGGTTTGTTAAGTTAGGACAATATTTGACCGAGATACAACTATTTGAATATCTGGAATCTGAGGGTGCAAAAAAAATCTAAATATTGAGAAAATCACCTTTAAAGTCATCCAAATGAAGTTCTTAGCAATGCATATTACTAATCACAAATTAAGTTTTAATATATTTACAGTAGGACATTTACAAAATATCTTCATGGGACATGATCTTTACTTAATATCCTAATGGTTAGAGAGTCGGACTCATAACCCAAAGGTTGCGGGTTCGAGTCTCGTACCGGCAGGGATTGTAGGTGGGGGGAGTGAATGTACAGCGCTCTCTCCCACCTTCAATACCACGACTGAGGTGCCCTTGAGCAAGACACCGAACCCCCAACTGCTCCCCGGG